TTTACCATGAGATTGAACCAGTCAAATTGATCATTTTTTCTTGATAAAGTTTTTATGCAGAGGGGTAATTAATTCTGCTCTTGAGAAAGATTAGGAGAAAACTTTCACTAAATTAAAAACTAAAGAGTCAAAACTCAATCACTTAAGCAAGAAAATAACTACTAAAAAAGCTTATTGAGAAGCACTTGTTCTAAAGATAAGAGTCTTAAAGATAGTACTTGAAAATTTTGTTGATAATTGAAAGAATGTTTTAACACAAAGACCAAAATTTGAGTAGATTATCGGGAAACGGATTACTTAAAAATTTTATCATGAAATGTCAGAAATCTTTGTTATGCAAGAAGTTCAAAATATTGTTAAAGTTGGATAAAAGAAGATAGAATCATAAAACTCGCGTTGATAATCGAGTAGGCAAATATTTGATCACAAGCTCAAGAAAGTGAGCTTAATGAGAAGATCTTCTAATAAAAGAAAACTTGATGACTTTGTCGAAAAAACCTAAAATCGACTTCTTGCTTGAGTTTGACACTTACAACAAGTTATTATCACAAAGCAACTAAAATACTCGAGAACTTAATTGAGAAGATAAAAACTCAAGAATATGTTTGAGAAATTAATTAAAGATAAGTATTCTTCTAAAAAGAGCTTCTCTTAAAGTCAAAAGCGAAAACTCAAGTTGAACTTGAGTCAAACAAAGTTTGATAAATTTGTTAAAAAATATTGAGTAAAAGATTTTAACCTTATTTTAGAGATATTGAAAAATAAAGTTCAAAACCAAATAATGTCATTGAGAAAACTGATTATCAAATAGAAAAAGTCTTTATAAACTATTTTCAGTAAAACTTGATAACGTTATCAAGAAATCCATGGCTATCTTACAAGGCATTTTAAATAGAACTTGAGTAAATTCTCGAGTTTCATAGAGAACCTCAAAATTAAAAACAATATTTGTCATTGTCAAAACTTTAATACTGATAATGTGAAGATTTTGAAGGTTAGGGTTCATTAATTCACACATACCTTCATTGTATCACTTTCTCTTCCCCTCTCACACTTATCTTCAGTCCCATCATTCTTCTTCCATTTCCTTATGTTTTCCCACCCTCTTCTACTAGACTGATCATGTTAGTGGCAGTTTCACCTAAGAGGGGGGTGAATTGGGTGAGTTATAAAAATTTATAAAAATTTTAACATATTGAAATAGTGCTGTGAATAAATCAGAGAAGGTTGAGTTAGAAGGAGTTCACCACAAAGTGAAGACACAAGATTTATACTGGTTCGGTCTCAACCACTTGGCTTACGTTCAGTCCTCAGAACACCTATGAGATTTCCACTAAGATCCCAAGATTAAATGGGCTTTTAGCGCCTCAGTACAGTAATTGATTTTCTCAATCACTCTCCCTTACTACCCGTAAGGTTACAATCCCTCTCAAGAGTCCACACTCTTGAGTTACTCTAAGAAAAATGAGTAAAGAGATATATCAAACTCTCTCACAAAGTAAATGAATAATGAACACTAATGCTCGGTGAAAGAAAAATAGAGTATTGAATGCAACGGTAAGTATTTCAGCAGACGATGGTTTGCGTATTCAATACTTTCATTCAATGCTCTTTACACCTTTTATAGTTGAAGATGTTTAATTAACCATTAGGCTAGAGAGCTTCTAGTCATTGGAAAAATCAGTTGCGTGTGTTCGGCAATTACAATGGCAGTTCGTCATTAATGTTTCTGACATGGTAGGTTACAGGCTACTAAATAACCGTTGAGCTTGCTTTGTAATCTGTAACAATACTTGAAACAAGTGAATTCTCTTTCAGAAGGAAACTTGTAAAGGTAACTGAACAAATAATGATCACTGATATTTGTATACCAATTTGGAAAGTAATGAATCAAACAACAGGTACTTTAAATATGAGCTGAACATATTTGATTGATGTCTTGATCGATAAGTAGTTGATCGATCAAGTTTTCGATAAAATATAGAGAAAACTTTAGTCACATACATGTACATTTATCAATGAGCTCATGGATCAACAGATGATTGAATAACTAATCGATAAACAATGAGAAATGAATACAGTGACTTTCAGAAGAAATTTTTGCAAGAATAAAACTTTTAAATCCATTTGTGCCTTTGAATCTTTTTAATAGAGGATTATTGATAAGGACCTTTGTCGTTCGCCTTGGAGTTCTCAATCAAAAATAAATCCAAGTTATGCAGTATAGTGCAAACTCAGCTCGTTTCACTTTTGGGAGCCTTTATTAATTACCTAAGCTAGACTAAATGCCATGCAATGTAATGAAAGGGGGTTTGGTTTTTAAGATTTAAATGAATGGTGACTAAACTAAATGCAATGAAAACAAACCTAAGCTACTATGTTTTTGGTATTTTTGGATAATGATGATGGAATGGAAATGAATGATAGGAAATCTCCTGAGAATGGTTTTCATGGCAATCATAGTTCACTCAAGATATTGGGAGTTTCACAAATCCATTAGGTTTTCTTAATAACAACCTCAATAACTCATTGAGTCCAATGCTTACATTAATGAACTCATTAATGAAAACATTGTTAAGCTTCCCTAATGTGTAATTAAGAATGATTAATGCAAATGGTTCAATGTAACAGAAAATCAACTCATCATCAAAACATGACCATGCAAGATGAAGTGAATCAAGAGAGCTACAAAGAACATATATGTGACCACATATATTGAAGCATGAAATTCAACATTAACCAATCCAACTACAAATGTAAATCATCAACTAATGATTACAGATCAATCAAAGTCTTTCACTAAGGATTTACAAACCCTAGACCTGGGAATTCATAAATACATAGCTAGAACTAAGATAAAACTGAAACTCCCCTTTTAAAGCTCTTAGAACTCAAGCCAATCATCACCATTCTTCAAGAGTTGATAAACCCTAGCCTTCCATAGCTTCAAGAAAAGCTCCAACCGAAGTGAATTCGTCATCCATGGCAGCTGGGAGTGGAAGGAAATGAGATGGAATGAAGAAAAGGTGAAGGAAATGGATGGGGAAGAAGATGGAGGTGGAGAGGCAAGAGGATGAGAGAATAGAGGTGTTCTTGATGATAGAATGGAGTGATTAGTCGAAAATAGGGTTTCTAAGGGTTTTAGGGGTCTATCTGGGTCGGATCATATGAGTAAAGAGTCTATTTTTGTGTTCTGGATCCGAATCTGACGTTACTGATACGAGAGTTTGCCGCGACAAACTATTCCAGAAGGGAATTTTGGTGAGATTTTGAGAGTTTGCCGCGACGAACTCAAAAGTTTACCCCGGCGAACTATTCTAGAATAGTCACTGATGCACATTTTCAGACTTTTTGCCACAGCACAGTATTTTTTTGGAAACTCTCATGTTGTGTAATGCTTTGGTCTTCAATCTTGACTCTAATTCTCAAGTGTCCTACAATAAAAAGCAACAATTTGAAGCATCAATTGTCCTATAAATCAATTGAATAGAAGTAATAACCAATTATGAAAATTTTAACCTCAAAAAGACACTAACTCAAAGTAAGGACTCTTAATCTAAATTGAGCATAATTATCATCAAAATGAGCCAAAATTTATGATAAATACCCTTAAAATGATATGAAATAACATAGAACAATTGGGTTCAATCAATTATGTGTAAAAGGAAGGTTGAGAAAAACTTAAAGATAAAAAATATGAGAGATTTTGAAATTATCGTGAAAAGCTTGCTATGAAATGAACTTGTACAATGATCGAACAAGTAATCAAAAACTGTTTGATCAATCATGTTATCGATAAAGCTAAGTATGAGGAAAATAGATTTTGAACATCATTGATCGAACACTTTATTGATAAATGAATAATGGATAAACTGATTGTTAAAAGGTTTTAAAAAGATTTTCTCAGATAAGTCAAAGAATATTCGATGATCGAGTAAATGATCGATTAAAGCTTAATTGATTAAGTGATTGATAAAATATCGTAGAAGAACTTTGTTTAAGTAGGTCAGGAAAGGCTTGATCGATCACTTATGTGAAAACAAAAGTTTCAGAAGTTTGGATGATTGATCCTTTGATCGATAACTTAATGATCGATCAGGTGATCAAAAAATGACTCAACACAGTTTAGTACAGTGAGATGGTAATGATCGATCATTTGATTGATAAAGCACTGATCAATCAACTGATCAATTAAGGAACGTAACAACATACTTGGATAGTAAAAAATATCGATAAACCAGTAAGTTATTAGGCAATGTCAGAATAGGTTATCGATTAATTATTGATAGACAAAGTGATTGATAAATGGTGAATTAACCAGAATACTATGTGAGTACAAAGACCTTACTATTTATCTGTGCTTTCGTCGATAACACGTTGATTGATCATATGATAGATAAAAACTTACCAGATTTGTACAGATTTTTCTGATTGTTGATCGAAATTTGATTATCGATTAATTGATTGATAATTTTCTACAAATTTTCTACAAGCTTCTATATAAATTAGTGTTGATAATGATCGATCAATTGATTGATCAACTCATAAAGTTTGAATTATCTATTAGTTTATCGATCAAACATACTGCCAACTTATTAGCAAATAGTGACAATTTATCTGACACAAGATTGATTAACTTTTGATCGATCAGGTGATCAATCAACATACTAAACTAGAACTTACTTAAATTGTTATCATCAAAACCTTAAATCTAACGTTCTCCCCTTTTTTAATGATGACAAAACATATGTGTAAGATTAATCAAGTTTTATCAGATAAAAACTTAAGCTAAATCCAGAATTAAACAAGAACTCACGACAGATAAAAATATTCATCAAGAAAAATCAAACTGTCAGAAATGCATAACTGATAACATATAAGTACTGTCAAAATACAATTATAGCATAAAGCACAAATAAATTAAAAGCTGTCAGAATTTGAAACAGAAAAAGAACATAATATGTAACATAATATAGGAAGCACAATGAAAGCACAGAAGACTAAGCAGATTTCTTCTTCTCCCTCTTTTTGTTAGCATTAGAAGATAGGGAAGGAGAAGAGATAGTAGGCAAGGTGATGAGAATGGGGAGAGAGGGAAGTTGAGAAATTGGAGACAAGGTCTGAGAAATAGGTAGAAGAGGAAGAGAGGAGGTAGGTTGAGGAACTGTGATAACAGCTGAGGTAGTAGGAGGAGGAGTAGGGGATAATGTGGAAGGGATAGAAGGTGAAGCAAAAGTGGGAGAGGTGGAGATAGGTGAAAAAGGTGGTTCAAGATCATGGTAAGGAGGAGAGGGTGGATGAGATAAGAGGTTTTCAAAGCTCAAGGAAGTGCCAAGGGCCAAAAAGTTTATACAGATAGAGGCAACCATTCCTTTAAGCTCTTTGAGCTCTTTCTCTACCAGGTCAAATCTTAGGGACACCTCTTTTTCCAGTATGGCCATGGCTCTTCTGTGGAGGTCCAAAATAGTATGCAATCCTTCAAATTTCTTATATGAGATTTCCCCATAATCCTTTGCAGTGGCATACACCCTTTTCTCAAACTCTTGTAGTTTAGTTTAGAACATATTCTGGATGGTGTTGCCATAAAATAAGGGACCAGAGGTTTGAGAGGGTTCTGTAGAAGACTCAGCCTCATCCTGCCCCTTTGAAGCACTGGTCATAGGCTTTTTTCCTTTCTCTTTCCTTGCCAGTTTTTGTGAATATTGAAAGGGCACTGGAATTCTCATTTTATTGAGCTGATTAATTCCAAATGTAGGAACCTTTATTTTGACTTCTCTAGGCTCGAATGGTGTAATGTTGCTTACTTGGAGAAAGTATGTGACTAGCTAAGGATAGGGGATAGGTGTGGATTGGACTTGTTGAGTGTGAAATCCTTCATCTCACTATAGATCAAGGCTCCAATATTAATTTTCTCTCCACTGATTGTTTTGGCCAACAGGAGGTAGTCATCCTGGTTTAAGTGTGAAAAGCTACCAGACTTGTTCACTATGCTCCTTGAATAAATGTAGTGGATTATTCTATAATAATCACACATTTGTTTTGGTAGGAAGTTTAGCTTTCCTAGGCACCTATCACTCTACATCATAAGCTTGTATGCTTTTACGTCATTCATGTCCCCTTCTCTGACATATTCTGGATTCCCCAAAAGTTCATTTATCTTAGCAGAAGTGAGAGTAATGGTTTTGACTCTGAGTTTTGTTGTGAGATAATTACTCACCAAATTATCTTGTCATCATATTCTTCTACAGATTCCATATTACAATAAAATCTCTTGACTACTTTAGGGCAATATTCACCACCAATACTAAGCCAGTTAGAGTAGTATTCCAGAGGGTTACTCAAATCCAATTTGATTTTCTCATTCTTTTTCAAACTATACAGATGTACGGAGACCACAGGACAAAATTTTTAAGTTACAAAATCAGCTTTAAACTTTATCATGCTTATATCTTGATCTACATTTCCAAACAAGAATTCAGATGGTGATTCGGAGGGTATACCTTGGGCAGAAGATTGTTGAGACACAACTTCTCCTATTCTTTGTTTCTTTTATTGTGGTTGTCTGGGTATGTGAATGTTCAATGTTGTGTCCACAGCTTTTTGAACTGAGAATTCTTTATCAGATTTTGTCTTAGATTCTTCAGTCACAACTGGCAACTTGGATTTTGAGTATGGAGGCCTTCTCTATGTTGTGGGTTGCTCAGCTCCCTCGGCTTGGCTTTCTCTGATTTTAAGTGCTCCCTTTTTCTTTGAAGGCTCTTGCCTCACTTTGGGTCTATATTTCTTTTTCGTTATAAAAGGCGTAATCTCTTTTTGCTTTTCAGTGTTTCTTCTTGGTCACTTCTAGCTTGTTTGACCCTTACCACTTTTCGCTTCACAGAAGGGTTCTGAGGGATTAATTGGTGGATTGAGTGTTTGAAGAATTTGGTAGTGATCGAGAGGGCTTAAGTAGTGATTTCGAGTGAAGTGAAGAGAGTAATTTAATGGAATGGTGAAATATTGACCGTTGTGAGACAACAGGGAAGTGTTTATCGAGCTAAGGTTTTGAAACTGACAGGGTTTTTCAAAATATGAACATTATAAGTACAAGATTAATCGATCAAGTTATCATTCAATGCATGATCGATCATATGTTCGATAATTAAAAAGAACAGTAAAGAACACTAAAGGCAATTATTGATCAAGTTATTGAATAATGAAAAATTGATCATGTTATCAATAAATGTTAAGTAAAAGTACATACCTGGTCTTGTTAATTGATCATTTGATCAATTAACACTTCATCGATCAACTTATTGATAATTCTTACCCATATTAACTGGCTTATCTGACATTTCTTATTGCTGTTGATCGATGTTACACCTTGCTATTGAAATGGCTTAGAGTTCAATCCGAACCATTTTAGACCACATTGGATGGTCTTGGGCTCAAAAATCTCATTTAGGACGTCGAGGATGCTACTTTTTGGATTTTTACTATTCATATGGTAAAAATCTAATTTTTTGATCCAACTTCAAAAAATCATAATTTAATCTAGAACAATCAAAATAGAGTGGTTCAAAATTCTATAGATAGATCTTTGAATACTCTTTCAAGGAAAAATAATCTTGTGATCCATTTGAAAAAGTGTCAGGTTTTTGTGAAAGTCACCTCTGTCCTTTTGGTAAAAACTCTTTTTCCAGGTTCTGGACCTTAACTTTGAAAAATCATTAAAAATCATATAGTTGGCCATTTTTAATGTGCTACCTATTGATTTGAATTCCATGATGTGAACTTTAAGCATACCAAATTTCGTGAAGAAATTCATTTGGGAACTTAATAAAAATATGGCTTGAAATTGGCATCCTACTTAGGGTTACAGCATCAAACATATATACTTATACAAGACCAAACATGATTGTTTCCTCATGGTTCATCACCATTTTTATCCTTGGATTTGTAGCCTCCTTTTTGATGATTTAGCCCCTAAAATGTTAGGTTACATATGGGGGATGAGATTTCAATGAAATCCCAGTAGCAAGATTAATCAACCAAAACATTAACATGCATCAATTACAAGCATTCCAACCTTTTACTATTAATAGGGAATTACTTTACCTCATACATGTAGCACTCTAATATGCAATAGGCAAGGAACTTAAAGCAAGGAGCATAGCTACACAATCATCATCATCATCATTATTTAGCTCAACCACATAATAGCACATGAAATTGCATGACAATCAATGCAACAATCAACATTAAGGTTAATTAAATCTTACTACTTTAATCCAATGCTCTTTGATTCTTTGACCTTTTTCCTCTTCTCCTCAATTTAACAAACCCTAACATGATAAATCACAAAAAATGCAGTAAGATTACCATCCATTCACATAAAAATTAACAACATGGTTTACATAACTCCTAAACCCCTTTAAGCTTTCATCTTTGTTCTTTGAATTTTTAGAATTTGTTTTCTTAACCCTAAAAATTCTCTCTTGACTCATTTCTACATCATTTTTCATTTTGATTCTAAATATGTGCTTGGATTTAAGAAAAGGAACTTCCTTCTTCCAATTTTAGTTTGGCTGAACCAAAAGGGTTTATTATCCAAAAATTACAACTTTAGTTTTAATGCTTCCAACACTTGTTCTTTAGCTTTATCCTATACCATTTTCCATTTCGAGCATCATGGAAGCATCAAAACTTTGAAAAACTCACCCTAGGGTCTAGTTATTTTGTTGGCTAAATAGTCCCTCTTGCAACATCTCAAAGGAATCTCTTCACAAATAATACATAACTACTTGAAACCCCTTGGAATAATTATGCTTTTAAGTGTTCTAGCTAGTTTGAACAACAAAACTTCCTTCCCTACACAATAAATATTTCAGCCAGCTCCAAATAAAAAGGAAAAACCAGAGATCTTAGCCATACAAAGCATGAAAACAAGATAAGGAACAACTTGAAATCAACAACTAACCTTAGATCACACTTAGATGATAAAAGTTGCTCCCTTTCTCTTGATTTCTCCTTCAAGCCCTCTCTTTTCCCTCACCTTTCTTAGTTAGCTGAAATATAATCTAAAAAATGGGAAAGGAAGAGCTCGCTTAATGCTCTAAAATATCCCAACCACTATCCTTCAATGCTATGCCATATGTCACTTGCCTATTTAGTCTTGAAACCTCTCTTTTAATTAAGAAATTCCAATGGTAATTAATTTCCAAAAGTCAAACTCTTCTCCACTTAAGGCTTGACACTTGGAAAGTTTAATTACTCTCTGATAGGGCCTTAACAAGTGGGAAATTATGTGCCAAGTAAAGTGCAAGACTCTAATTTACACTTTATCGGTGCACTTTTACTCCGAGCTTAACTTTTTTTCTATAATTATAGTACTTTGGCTTTTGTAATTATTTTCTGTCAGATTCATAAATTATTCTCCTCATTTTTCTCTTGCCAAAATGCCCTCTTTAGCTCAAACTTAATTTTTCATTAATTAAATAAAAAGGAAAATTATTTTCCTTCTCATTATTGATTTTTCCACTTGTCCAAGTAATTGGGAAAAATCTTGGATATTTGAGGGTTTCCTTTTAATACCATAATTTCTTATAGTTTCTTGGGATATCATAGGAATTTTATTGAAATTTTATTCTCCTTCCAAATATTTATTTGGAATTTTCTAAATAAAAGGTCTGAAATTAGGCTAAATCAACCTTAAATTCCTTTATAATTTCTCTAAGAGCAATTTGGTCATAAAACCAATTATATAACCTCATATAATTCTCAAAGAACATTATCCTTATTTTTTCTTAATTTTCTGAGACTTGAAAATATTTTTTCATAATTTTTCTTGACCAATTTTTCTTAATTAGTCAAACATTTCATATTTGACTTGGAAAATCATAATAATTATTTCCCATTAAAAATTCTTTTATTTCTCATTATCCTTTTAGGACCTTGAATATTTAGGAATATCCTTATTCCTAATAGCCATATTACAGGATGTGACATTTCTCCCCCTTAAATAAATATCGTCTTCAAAATTTAAAGCGTATCTTATTGGAAAAGTTTAGGATACTTTTCCTTTATCTTAGTCTCTATCTCCCTCACAGCTTCTTTTAATGTAAGACCTTTCTAGACAACCTCGACTAGTAGAATCTACCTGTTCCTCAGCTGTTCGACTTTCTGATCAATGATTCGCTCTAGTATGACCTCAAAAGATGGGTTGTCTTAGAGCACAATGTCATCATAGCTTATGACCTGTGTCGGGTCTAAATGGTACTTCTTTTATTGGGAGACATGGAAGACATCATGAATTTGACTCAAATTTGGGGGAAGGGCCAACTTGTAAACTACTAGTCCTGCTTTGGACAAAATTCGAAATGGTCCAATATACTTTGGACTTAAATTCTTAATCTTTAGGGATCACTCAACTTGCATTGTTAGCAACACTTTGATCACCAAC